TTTTTTTTTTTTTTTTTTTCTGTTTCCACTCAGCTTTTCTGTTGGCAGTGGCAGGAGGTTAGTGGGGTACAGTAGTCTCAGGAGCTGAAGAGCTGAGTAGTCTGATGCTTGATTCAAATTCCAAAGGCCAATCCCATGGTCAAAGCCCTGTTGTTTCCATCTTAGAAGATAGAGAGCCTTTTTCATTTCTTTGTTGTAGGGCAGGAATCTACTGTGTCCATTGAGTACCAAAAGTAAGCCAGCTTCTATTGCATCTGACCAAGGACTTACAAATGATCAGAAAACCAACAAAGACATAGCATAGCCACAGAGTAGGACCAAGGCCTGCAGACTTCTACTCTAATAATAATAATAATAATAATAATAAATAATAATAATAATAATATAATCACTGTCAGAGTAATATTTTCTCTTACAGTAGTTTATAAAGCATCATTTATGTAAATTACCTTATTTCATTTACTTCCTTTCCCATCTCCAAGTGAACCTGTAGAGATAAGAGCGAATGCTTGGCAACATGTTCTTAATTTTAACTGATTACTGGGTGTGGAATATGCAAAGCACAGGTCTGTTTCCCAAAGGACTAATCCACAAAGAATGCATTTAGAACCTGATTGAACCTCAATTTCGACTCTTCCTAGAGTAAGCCTCCACTTTAATTCCTTAGAAGGAAAATATAAATTTATTTAAAGCAAAGTTAGTCCATTGTTAGGACATGGGTAGAAGAATGGCCTTCTATCTGATGGATTTGGATATACTGCCAATTAATTCTCCAAGAGACAGCTGAGGTCTACGTATTTATTTAAATTTAATCAGACTAAGGCACCCCCTACCATGCTTTTGCTGGGAAAACAGAAGAGATGATAGTTTGATTTGCATATGCAAATCTTGCCTATATATGTATTCCTTGTTCATAATCATTTATGTACAATCAGAAGCCAATCTTTCATTTTGAAAGAATCTCCACAGCTGAGCATTCAGCTTTATCAGGCCCTTCATGAAAACTATTACCAAAAGAAGGAGAAAGCACTTTTTCATACATGATCAAGAAGTTTAAAGTGGTTTTTTTGGTACCAGGGATCAAACTCATGACCTTGCACTTGTGAAGCAGATGTGGTGCCACTGAGCTAAATCCCCAGCCCAAGAAGTTTAAAGTCTTTATGGAGCAACTTAGAAGCCGTGTGTGTGTGTGTGTGTGTGTGTGTGTGTGAGTGTGAGTGAGAGAGAGAGAGAGAGAGAGAGAGAGAGAGAGAGAGAAGACCAAATGAATATAGTGTAGTGACAGTGCTGATTTATGTCCACGATGGGCCCAGAACTTGACTGAAATAATCAGGTAGGATTTCTAGTTTGTAAGAATATTTGGAATGGGGGGTCAGAAAAAGATTTTTTTCACTGCTTTCAGGCCTCTGCCCCTCAGTATCTGTATCTGTGAGCTCATGGGGTGACATTAGGAAGTTAGAATCATTGGGCTCATTGGCATTTAGGGCTCTTTGTAGATGTTAGGGTGTTGCCAGCATCATAGGGCCAACAGCACAGTGTCTTCAGTGGATGTCAGCTCATTTTGATCAAGGTGTACATATGTCAAGATCTTACCAATGAAGTCAAATGAAGCAAAACACAGACATATAAAAAGTACAAAAGGGCAATTTTTAATCAAAATCCCAGCTGTCATATTTACTGAAATTGATAAGCTGATCCTAAAGTTCACATAGAGATGTAAAGAATTGGGGGTGGGGGGCTGGGAGAAAGGAAGAGATTGCAGAATTCACATTTTCCAACTTCAAAACATATTTTAAGGCTACAGTAATCAAAACAGCATGGTTTCAGCACAGGAATAAACACATAAATCAATGGTATCAGGTTGAAAGTCCAGAAATAAATCTTTACATTTATACCCAATTGATTTTTGACAAGGGTGATTGATAGGCCATTAAATGCAGGAAGAAGTCTTTTCAACAAACTGAGGAACAACTGAATATCCATATTCCAAAGAGTAAAGTTGGACCCCTCCCTCACACTGTATACAAAAGTTAACTGGAAATAAACCAAATACCTACATGTAAGAGCTGAAGTGACAAAACTTTTAGAGGAAAACATAGAAGTAAATCTTCATGGCCTTGGGTTAGAAAATGGTTTCTTAGATCTGAAACCAAAGCAAATACAACAGAAGAAAAAATAGTTGGATTTTATCTAGATAGAGTATTTTGTGTTTCAGAGGAGATCATGAAGAATGTGGAAAGAAACTATGAGATGGAAGAAAATATTTGCAAGTCATATTTCTGATAATGGACTAGAATTCAAAATTCTTACACTCAGTAGTAACTAGACAAATAACTCAAAATGGGTAAAGGATGAGTAGATATTTCTCCAAATGAGATATACAAGAGTCCACTAGATCCAAAAGTTACTCAACTCATTAATTATTAGGGAAATACATTCACTATTCTGGCTAAAATAGGACATAATAAACATTGCAGAAATTGTAACCCTCAAACCTTGCTGGAGGGGATGTAAAATATTGTAGAACCTTTGCAAAAACAGTAGGCATATGTGAATATACATCCACACATTTTATTAATAAAATACATATCCACACAAAACTCATACATGAATATACATAGCCCAGTATGTAGACTATAAGTAGTTCAAATTCAGAAACAATTTATCCATCAACAGATGAATGGCTAAACAAACTATAGTATATGCACACGATGGAATATTACTCAGCTATCAAAAATGAAATACCGGTACATGGTATGCATGAATGAACCTTGGTGACAAAAGCCAAACATTGAGGAGTGATTCTATCTCTGAGAGTCCAGAACAAACATGACTACAGAGGCTCTTTAGGTCTGGGCTGCTGGCAGGAAATGAGGGTGACTGCTGATGGATAATGGTATTTCTTTTTAGACTGATAAAAATATTCTGAGTTTCTGAGGTGATAATTGTACAACTCTGGGATTAAATTAAAAACCAGCAGTGAATTGTACCATTTTAAATTACTTATGTGGTATGTGACATATATCTCAATAAAGCTGTTAAGACATATAAAGAGCAAAAATGTCTTGCACTTCCTTCCCTGTGTCATCTTTCCCGTCAGGAATAACACTGACAGCAGCATCAAGTTGGCTCATGGAAGCCTGCGTAATTCTCCAGCTCTGATCAAGCTTCTGTGCTTCTTTGTCCTGGAGACACTGTCCACTCTAGGCCGCTTGCAGGGTAGGCACACAGCTGGCTGCTCTAGGAGGGCCAAGGTGGAGAACAGGACAGGTCAGGCGGGACTCTGGAGCCGTGTCTTCTGACATTGCTGGGATTTGAAGATGTCCTAATCCTTTCTTCTGGAAGTTTGACTCCCACACACAGTTTAATGTCAGGAAGTCTGGATGGGCCAGTGATCCTGAAAGCTGTTGTGGTCCTTTGGGGGCAGAGGGCAATGGGAAAGGAACGTCCGGGATGCTGGCAGAAGAGCCCACACGCGGGCTTCCATCTGTCCTCAGGGACCTGCCCCGCAGGGTACCCTCTGACCAGTGCCACCTGAGGGCTGAGAAGGAGTGCAGCTGGCGAAGGGCCTCGCCGCATTTGTGGACTGGTGACAAGCGATGGCATGGTGTGTTGTGTTCTTTCACCTTCTTGAGACAGGATGAATTTGTGATGAACAGGGACACGAGTCTGTGGTAATGTGACTCGATGCGCATTAGTCAGTACCATCAGGAATGTCTTGCTTTCTTTAAATTGGCTCATCGATTTGATAACTTTTTTTTTTTTTTTTTTTTTTTTTT